TTCCTATCAATCTTGTTTCTATTTCCTCGCCGGAACGTAAATTTTTAGCTCGCGCGATATTGAAATGAGGTAAAGAGTATTTAAATGAAGGTTTTAGAGGATAAAATCAGAGCGTGTACTGCCTGCTAGGTTATTTCATCAAGCATTAAATTATAATATAATAGCTATGATAAAAAGTCTTCAAGCTAAATATCACCTGGTTGTAATTACATTTGTTTTAAAATCAAACATTTTTATTGCATAAACTGGAACTTTGAAAGAAACTGAATTATACATGTATATATTTCCGACAGCGTTTTGCATCTGTTAAACTTACAGCTACAACCATGTCGGTGTCCTCCAGATATCGATGTACTTCGTCAGCAGCAACACCATAATTTTAATAATAAAATATTAAGAGAACAACTGAAAAGTCATTACCCAGCTGTTATGATGTATCAGACACAATGCCTGTTCAAAATGATAATTTAGCAAGTACACGGCATTCTGTTCGAGGGCAGTGAACGTAACATATAATACTTTATTGACACCTTATGCATAAGAGAGTGTTCTAATGCCCACACTATTTTTTTAAGATTCCTTGTATAAAACAAAGATTATTTAATATATTGTAAGAATTATGACTGTAGCTGAGTTAATTAATCCTAAAGCGCCATCTAGATGAGCGCGCGGGTAGCGATGGGGAGCATAGGACGTGTACAAAATGTTGTAACGATTATTCTTCTTACTTTTCTTTTTATTCTAATGTATATAAATAAATACTATTTTAACAATAATTTGAAAAGTTAAAGTGGTGATTACAGTGATGCTTATTCATGATGTCTTCCGATGCTTATTCATGATATCTTTATACAGTACTGAATACTGAGATCGCATAGTAAAATTATACGAAAAGTGTTGTAACTACAGTATGGCAATGCAGATAAATCAAATAAGTTTTTCAAAGCTACTTTATTTGTGGTTTAAACACGAGGACTACTAGATTTTATGCTTTTTTCATTATCGGAGGGAAGAACCTAAAAGCTGTAAAATAGCAAGTAATCGCAGAAAGAAACAGACAAATTAGTACAATTTTATAAAAGTACTCTTGTGGATTCTAAATATGTTTGGGTTTGAAAGTTCCTGCATTAGAATATAAAATGTGTCATTCTTTACGAATTCAACTGTTTTTACCTTGTTTTGGTGAAAACCTGAAGTAACGGAAAAAAAAAAAAAAAAAAAAAAAAAAAAAAAAAAGAAGGAAAGAAAGAGAACAGTTTATTCTCGTATGTGTGGTGAGGATATTGCTCCTTTCATGCGTGGAATTGAGTTTAAATGAACTAAAAAGACAACTCATAAAGGTCCTGCACTTCAAACAATTTTGAAAGAATAATTAAATAAAATTTAAATTAAAAGAAATACTTTTCTTACATGCCTCTTCTTAGAAATAAACAAAATAGAAAAATAAATTTAAAATAACGTCAAATAAATATTATATCATATATTTCTTGTATACAAGGGTAATGGTAAAAAAATGCATTAGGGCATATACAGGGTGTTTCAGAAAATCGGTTACAGACTTTCAGGAGAGATAGAGTACACCTAGACAATGCGAAAACTCATAGCAATGCATGGTCGGAAACGCTTTTTTGGCGCGATAGTAATGACACGAAACACAAGAAAGAAAGGACACAGACAGGATGAGAATAATGTTTACTATGTTTAGTGCAGCGGAAATAAAAAATAAAAACAGAAAAACAGACGATTGTTGTCAAAGAAGGTGTTCGAAATTACGACCGGGATCGTGATGCGGGAACCGTGCGTCATGCATCGTTCATGGAGATGTGAGGCCTGCATCACGGTCCGGGGTCGTAACTTCGAACACCTTCATTAATGACGATCGTTACCTGCTTTCATTCATATTTGTTGGTTTCTGCTGTACTAAACAAAATAAAACGTGTTTTATCACACTGTTCGTGTCCTTCCTTTTTTGTGTTTTGTGTCTTTACTGCCGCAGCGTTTCCGACCATGTATTGCTATATGATTTCCCATTATCTAGCTGTACTCAATCTTTTCTCAAAGCTTGTAACCGATTTGCTGAAACACCTTGTGTGTACAACGTATCTACTTACAAGGCCTTTATTTTCGCAACCAGTTGGCCGTAGGCATATATATTTCCAATCACAGAAATGCTTTTAATGACTCAAATATTTATGTTTTGGTGTTTTCAAATTTAAAGAAATCAGTTTTATAAAAATTACGAAATCTAATGTATAAAATGTAACATATCAAATGTTAGACTGAATAAATTTTACAAAGTTTATCTTTTAAAATTAAAAAACATCAAGACTGGAATTTTTACCTCCATTGGAGCATTTTTGTATTTGGAAGTATATAGTTGATAACTGGTTGGTACGACAAACGGCTGCTTTGGTGCTTTTCAGAACAGGTCTTATCGAATTGTAATCATGCCCTTCAGTTCACATTAATGAGGAATGACCTTCTTCTAGTCATTCGGCTATGAAATTTATATTTTTTAAAAAATACCCCAAACAGTTTAGATACTAGTAGGCTTCCTAAACACTTATTTGACTTTTAAAATCAGGTTTACTGAATTGATTTTGAGATTACAAATAATATTTCTAATGATCAACTTTTATTTGAGTTCAGTGAAACGCCTCGGAAACCCTATTCTCAGTTTGTTTTCAATCAAATTTGTTTTAAGGTGTTCCGAAACTATATTATGAACAGTAAATTTGCTTTGCATTCACTGGTTTATCTATACTTCTCTCACAATTTATCCAATTCCAATGAAAAAATTTAAGTCTTCTCATGTGAAAAGAAATCTCAAACCTTTCCGACCCCGTTAAAGTACTTCTTCAACTTTAAGCTTTATCTTTTCTAGCTTTAAAATGCTTCTTATATGCGTTTTACAAGAAAAATCTGCCATAACCGGTCTTTTATTACGTTTGTTCCCGCAGTGGCACAATACCTATTTTTTAAGGATCTGTTTCCTATTTAAAAGACAAGATATTTAAGACAGCTGGTTTATTTATTAGATTTATATAATTTTATTCACCACAATAGACTTATTATGGCATTTAGAAACCGAAAACAATTAACAAAATATATAATTATCGAAAAATAGCTCAACTTACATCACCGAGTGTTTGAAAGTTTCGTGCACTTTAATACTATTTTGAGTCACTTGAGTGGCCAGGTGTTTGCTTTCTTTGTTTCGATCGACTTCGGAAATCTTGCGTTGAGATACTACTATTTTACTTTGACACTGATAACGAGGCAACCAATCCATTGGGTTGAAGCTACTACTGAATAATTTCTAGTTTATCCGTCACCAGTAAGCAGACCGGAAGATCTGATTGCAAATTTTAACGCGACAGTTGACCAATTTGACTGCAGAGCATTTCAAAAAGTGTGGCTTAATATTGGGAGATGAGCATTGTTTTACCATATGGAAGAAGAAAATTTTGAAGAATTTCTTTAATTCCGTTAAAATTAAGTTTACAAAAAGTGTAATTTCTTTCCCTACATTTATTTTGCTTTTAAATCGCAAATCAATTCTGTTTTATATGTTATTTGCCCCTTATTTATGTATTCAGAAAAATCCTCATAGCAGTTGGGCATAATATCCTTGTGGGGTTTCTACTTAGCTGGAAGCTAGAGTTAAATGTCCTGCAGACCCTCCTAGACTAATAGCGAGCTATCGCTATGTCTTAAATAGCTCCCAAAATACCGAAGAAGGTTAAAATAACCTTTCTATTTAGTCTTTACTATAACAAAATGAGCACATCTTGTGTTACAGACGAAACTTCCACTACTTTGGAGTTTTAAATTAACACAATAAAGTTAAATTCAAACTTAGAAATGTAGACTACACACCAAATAAACTAATTTGACATGGCTCAGATATTTTACCGACGCGTATTTTAAAACATCGGCTAACGAGATGCTAAAGTCGGAATATAACTTTTAAGCATAGCTGGCGAGATAATAACAGCATGACATGATTGCCAAAAGCTCTACTACAAAAACATTCAAAACCTCCAGTTTAAATACACGAAAACCTAATTTGCATTCTGCTGAGGAATATGGAAAGAAGAAGTTATATTAAAGACTTAATTAATGGTTAATTAATGTAAGATATCTTACATCCTGTTTACTATGGGCATCTCTTCTTTTCTGTACTTCAGATTTTTAATGGAAAAATAGTTATTGAAAGAATAAAAGAGTTTTTAACAAAACACAATATGTTTAGTGCACAAGTGATTTCGGAAGAACTTTGACACACAAAAAAATTAATTTACAAAATTGCAGCAATGTTTACTCCATCTCTTCAGTTATGAGTTCTTTTCTGTCATTTAAGAACTTACCTCGAATAAAATGAAAACCATTTACAGACTGATTTAAAGTATCATATAAAGTGGATTTCATAAAGCTGAGTTCATGAAGCTGATCTGTTAAACTTTTAACTGCAGTCTCTTTTATTGAATTTTAATTTATGACTCTTACTTCATGTCCTGAATAAAGATTATTTTGAACAGAAATTTTACAAATGTAGACTTCAGCGGTGAGGAAACTTCAACAAAATGAGTTCTGTCAGAACTAAAAGGTATACTTAGTTTCGTTTTTACATTTTACATGGGAAATAGTTAAACAGTTTACGACATGGATAAACTTGTCCAGCAAAAGATTTTTTTTTTTCATTTCTAACGAGACCTTGAAAATCTTTTGATAATTATTGCACAAGTATCAGAGAAATTTTCTGTATTTAAAATTTCATATAGGTATTAGTATTACAGTTTTCACACACAGTTATAATGAGTTTAGATTTTTATAATCTGAGTCATTTGATAAATAAAAAAAATGTACTAAATTAATTGAAATTTTATGAAATTTTACAGCTTAATTTAAAATGCTACTGCTCAACAGCTCAGTTCTACTCTTTTACATCATAAAGATTTTAACTTGCATCTGTTCACTTAAGAATTTTATTAACTTACTTGCTAAATGAAAATTTCTACACTCACATTTGTTTCCTGAAAAGGCCTTTTTGTTCTAATGTCTCCATTGCGGATTTTACTCGATTACCTCTTTCATCAGCATCACGAAATGCATTTAATTCATCATTCAAACGACTTTTTCCAAGCTCATCAGTGTATTCGTATTTCTGAAAATTAGATGTGCCAGGCTCATCCTCCTGTACAGTTTGTCTAATGCCTATATGACTATTAGTATCTCTGTCAATTTCATCAAAATTCCGTTTATTATTGAATCCAAAATCGTATTTGCCGAATTCATCGAACTTTCTTTTACCTATATTGCTGAAACCAGATCGATCGATTTCATCAAAGTTTCTTTTACCAATGTCACCAAATCCTGATCTATCTATTTCATCGAAATTTCGTTTTCTAATATTTCCAAAACCAGACCGGTCGATTTCATCAAAGTTCCTTTTATCAAACATGCGGAAACCAGCTCGATCTATTTCATCAAAGTTCCTTTTATCAAACATGCGAAAACCAGCTCGATCTATTTCATCAAAATTCCTTTTTCCCATGTTTTGAAAACCAAATCTGTCGATTTCATCAAAATTCCTTTTCCCCATGTTTCGAAAGCCAGCTCGGTCGATCTCATCGAAATTTCTCTTGCCCATGTTTCGAAAACCAGCTCTGTCTATTTCATCAAAATTTCTTTTGCCCATATCTCGAAAACCAGCTCTGTCTATTTCATCGAAATTTCTTTTCCCCATTGTGCTAAAACCTGACCTATCGATTTCATCAAAATTTCTTTTACCCATGTTTCGAAAGCCAGCTCGATCGATTTCATCGAAATTTCTTTTGCCTATTGTGTCAAAACCTGATCTATCTATCTCGTCAAAATTTCTTTTTCCCATATATCGGAAACCAGCCCGATCAATTTCGTCAAAATTACGCTTTCCCATACTTCGAAAACCAGCTCGATCAATTTCATCAAAATTTCTTTTTCCCACATTTCGGAAACCAGCTCTATCGATCTCATCGAAATTTCGCTTTCTAATGCTTAATTTAGATACATTAATTTCACTAGGACTCGGATTGCCATCATTGGGAAATTTAAATTTGTCGATTTCTTCTTTGGTTTTTACACTAGCATTATCGTAGCTGAACTTTGCAGACTCTCTAGATTTCCTTTTTACATTAAATAAATTATTCTGAACGTTTGGGGAATCTCTCTGGTTCTCAGTTGATTCTTCTTCAGCTTCTTTTTGCTCTCGAGCCCGAAGAACCATTCCTCCGCCTATTTTGTCAAGTGGTACTCCAACAAAACTTTTTTGTACCCTAATTTGCTTTTTTGGGTTGATTTTAAGTCGATTAATTCCACCGAGATTGAGTTCTTCATTCTTTCTTCCAAGAGTAGCCTAAAAACGAAAAAAAAAAAAAAAAAAACCATTTACACTTGTATTACAAAATACTTCTTATATTCAAACAGTTTTAAATACATATCACAATATAGTAACTAATACTGCGTTATGCATTTCGAAAAATTCATAAATTTAAATAGTTTTGAAACGTATGTGATGAAATATTCCATATATAAAAATATCCCTGAAATTATAAGACTGAGTTCAAAAACTCTTTCGCCGAAAATAATTGAGAAGTAAATAATATAACTTTCTTAGTTTTTATACATAAAAAAGGGATTCCTTTCTTGAAGAAACATTTGGCAATAGGAGTAAAAAGATAAACAATGAGATATCGGGATGAACTGTTATTTCTGTAGTCGTAGAACAGCACTTCTGACATAAAGCCGTATATTCTCAAATTGAAAAATCAGGGACGACTAGTAAATATTCAATAAAATGTTATCCGTGACTACCCTATTTACAACCAGACATTCCTAACACTTCCGCTAGAAAAACCACAAAAATCCTTTTACGTAAAACTGCAACTGCAGTATAGAGATAAATGGAAAATTCTAATTGTGGAATACGGATTATTTGATGCTTTCGTATAGACAATGCTTCATGGAAAATAAAATCGTGTGTATACATGTATGTATGTTACTGTATTTCAGAACAGATAAATTTTAGTCTTTAATAATCATTCCTAACGTTTATTAATATAAAGCGATAAATCCGATGTAGGTAATTAATCAAATAAATAAATTTTGTGCTTTAATCAAGATATAACGGTAAATTTCTAGATTTATCGATGAGAGTTAGTAACAAATACACTTCCGTCTAGAAGTTAAGAAACAAATATTTTTTTTCCGCTACATTATTACAAAAACAAACGATAATGATATAAAATAAAATTTAAATAAGTAGTAAAGGATAAAAGTAATAAAAATATGACAAAGGAAAAATTAGGAAACTTTCGTATTTAAATCTAAACGCAGGAAACTCTGACGATGTTTCATATATGAAAAGAGACTGATTTGGGTAAGGCATTTATTTGCATTTGTTAAAAATTTCTCTGAGAGGCCCGTTAAAGCAATATCCCAAAAAATCATTTGCTTGATTACTGGTTATCATTTGTATCTAGCTGAAACTGCAAGGCGGCTAAATGCCAACTTTTGTGTTGTCCATAGATTTTGTAATCAGTTTCTCAAGGAATGTATAGTGCTGATTCAGTTTTCAAGCGCCCACTGGTGACAATTCCTTCTGAAGATCTTTTCCTGGCTCTTTCGGATTTCAAAGCATAACGGTGTTTCAGCTTATATTAGATCATTTTGTAACTATCAGAAGAAGAATATTTCTATTATGAAAGGAATTCTGAATATACTTGAACTATTTGCCAGTACAGACTCTATTCTCAGTCAAATTACTCATTCACAGTGAACACAGCGACTGAGATGAACAAGGGAGCAAAGCGCCTAGTACTCTTCATAGACGAGTTTAGATACTTTACAATGTGTCTCACATCTTAGTATGATCTGGAGAGAGTAAGGAGTAGAACACAATGACTGGAACATCGTTGGACGAAACACTGCTAGAAGTCACAGTAGCCTCATTTGAACAGGAATGAGGTTTAGGCTGTCACACTAGCCTAAAACTGATTCCTGTTCAAAGAAGGCTACTGTAACTTCTAGCAGTGTCTCTTCCAACGACGTTCCAGTGATTAAATACCGCGAAGGCCTATTCTTTCATTTTAATGGCTGATAATAATTGACCACATAGGCCACATATAATCGACTAGTAACTTTGTAAGAATTATGTTAATTTTATTAACAGTTAAATTTTAAGTTAAAGTTCCTTTCCTGTCAAATTCTTAACTTCAACTTACTACTTCCGGCCAGAACGTAGGTTTGGAATCTTGCTGAATATTTAATGAGAAGGAGCGGTATTTAAACCACGAAGTTACTTATTGAGTCAGAGAGAATCAGAGTTTTCTGATTTTCTGCCTTTTTGGCCACTCTCTCTCTCTCAAAGCTGTTATTACGCTCGGCCGTACTCAGGCCCTTGCTAAGCTTCGTAGTCAAATAAGTTAAGGGGCCAACTCAATTTAAACCTTGATAGCTTCGGCTATACTTCTTTAGTTAATCTTAGTTTTAGTTTAATTCTTAGTCTTTTAAGTTCAAGCCCAAGTGCGGGCTTTGTTTGTACACTCTCAGGCGGAGTTTGTTAAATCTTATTGGAATAATAAAGGGTTGGTTACCCTTCTATCTTGTTGTTTCTTGTCGCCGAACTTAAGCGATTATTCGCTTGTTAGTTCTTAGATTCTTCACTTCCAACATTAACTTAGAATTTCGAAGTAAATGTAGAGTTCCTCACTTCTAAATGTAAGCCAAATGCAAGGTTGTTGCTTTGCTAATTTTATTGGCCCGTTTGTTACTAAAAAGGAAAGAAAAGGGAATATTTATAAATTTAAAAAATGTTATCCATCTAGCTGTAACGTCTCGTTGACGTGTAAGTTAATTCTTTTACCTGAAACATTATTTTAGCTTGGACTTAATGCGCATTTTATGGAATTAATTTTCAATGTTATTTTCCTTAAATTATTTAATAATCGGATTAATTCCTTTTACATTCGTTTTACACATTTCGGTTCAATTATTTTTAATTCTGTTGATTTGGTTTATGATAATATTTGTAATTACCCATCAGTAAGAGATCTAGAGATCTCGGTGGCCAAGGAAGCATCTGAGACCATCAACCAATAAAAGCATCTGAAAGATTTTTCTCTTGCTTCGAAGAAATAAATTATTCATATAAATCAGTGCTATTTTTATTTTTCACTTCTATATCATATTTTTCATGAATTTCTCTGCACTTTTGGTATTAGTGTGTAAACTTCTTTCTACTGTTATGGGTTACTACCTTAGAAATTTGTTTCCGTTACTCACTGATATAATCCTAAATTTTTACATAATTTATAATTTCATTTCCATTTTAATTTGCACACATGAGGCTTTCGAATTACGAAGTATTTATTGTAGGTATGAACATTTTAAATTTCGAACATTGGGAAAAAGACTTCAAAGTGACATCATGACTGTTAGCACGTTTCTTCTTTAATCGAGTTAGTTGGAGAGAGATTATCTAATATAAAATAATTCTTTTTAGCTTCCTCTTATCCTTCATTTTATTTTGAGTATTTTCCCTTTCTGTCCTAAAAATAGTAACTATTTACGACATATCAATCTAAATAGTGTCACTTCAAAATTAATCCGCATCGTAAGATCTTATGTAACGTGGCAATGCAGACACCTTTTGGCCAATTCCTAAATGAAATTTTTTAGTTGAGAACTAAAAATTTTCTCTCACCTTTTCTCTGAATGCGTCGGCACTTTTCTCGCTTGCTTGGCCTTCTCTATCATCCATTGTATGTTTTAAGATGTAAGCTTCCAAAAAATTGGGGGTGCATATTGTGCCCATAATGACGTGTGAATCAGATTATACGCTTAAAAATTTATGTTAGCCAGTAATAAAATTGCGTTGAATCTACAACTGAATCTGTCTGAAAGTGCCATCATTCAATTTACGGAGGAAAATCTCTCCAGGTGATTAAAGCGCAATAAACCATTGCCAAATCCATTACAGATATCTCCAAATTCTATATATATATATATATATATATATATATATACACGCAAGCATATGAACGCAGGCTGTACGTGTATTTACTGAAAAGATCTTTACTTTAATAACACGTCAGGTTTTTAAGTGTTTATATTTAGAGTAACTAACACGTCAAGCTTTAAATACTGTCATTTAAATGAGAGCAGTTTACATCAAAATATCTACACAAAGTGCATTCCTTAATGCTCAATTAGACGTTTAAATATTTTGCATTAAATGCAGTCTTGAACAGTAAAATGCCTTTTGTGTCGAAACTGGAATTGAATATTAAATGACGGGGATTTATTATAGATATCCTTATCAACTAAGAAGCTATATTCCTATTACACCCAGCAATTATTGTTAAAGATATTGGTTCTGTAAATTGAATAGTTCCTGTAAAGCTTTGAGATAGGAATTCGAAATTCTGGGGCCTTCTGCGTTTAATTCTGATTCTCAAACATTAGTCAAAAGAGGTATATCTTCTATTCGATGGTGGAATCTGCAGCCCAAGGATCTTCACCGCGTTATAGACTTGAATTTTCAGGTTATCAGAAGATTAATTTTATAAAATGCTTAAGCGAAGCTTGCATTCTAAAGATAAATATAAAGGATTTCAGTTAGCACTTAGGTAGCACTTATAGGAAGGATACATATATATTTATTTTTAAATTACCTTTTAATTGTCTTTTGAATATATATATACATAGCTGCTTAGAATATAAGCTTATTGAAGCAAGCTAAATAAAATGTAAGCTAAATGATATAAATAAATTTATAGGATAAAAAGTTTTTCAGTAATATTTCATAATATTCGCTAAAACGTAAAATGCTAAAAAAGTTATTATTAGAGTTGTTATCTGTTTAGCAATTACTAATATGCTAGCAGTAGTAAATGCTAATGCAAATAAAGCCAGAAATGCTACAGTTATAACACATTTTGGCTGCAGTTTTAACGCAACATTACTTTGGAAAAATGTTCAGTCATTAGAAAGCTATTTTCAGTATAATGTCTTGCTAGAAAAATATTAATTTAGATTTTAAGAAATATTTGTTAACATCGTTGCCACGATTGCATTTTTTTTCAGTTTTTCAGAATGAGCTGAATGACGCACTAGATTGCGTAAACTGAGAATTTAACAATCAAGGTTAGGTTATATGAACATGCCGAAGCACACGAGGGCTAACTTCTTAGATAAAGGGATGCCTTTGCGGAGAACTTTCGGAAGGGATTTGGCTCGTATGTACGTAAAACTTGGGAAAAACTACAAAAGACTAGCTTTGGAACTAGTTCCTTTGACTGGTTTCCAACTCGGCTTGAAGGCATGTTTAACTTGGAAGGAATTATTTTATTTCTG